AAYAYKASWGTAAAATATTGAAGTGTTGGCTGCTGTTACAGTRTTTGTGGTCAATACCCTGAAAAGCACTCGAAAACTCGAACGCACTGACTTTATGACAACATCTTTATTCAAATTCATTTATATCTAATTACATTAACTTTTCCCAATCGGTAACTATGTTTATAATCTTGCAATATCAATACGACGATCAGAGTTCGAGTCCGCAACGGCCACTAGCCAGGCCGGTAGTCTGAATAATGTAAGATTCTCTTATCGCCAATGACATCAAAAGCTGATAAAAATCAAACCAAAACATGACATGAAAAAAGGATTTTCATATAACTATCCCTGTACGTGGCAATATCTCTTTTCAGTAAGTACCAAATAAATCAGGATTACATCTAAATTCTAAAGCGTTAATTAATCAAATTAACTTGTTTACCCTACACCGCGCTTTCTGCCTGATCTCTATGATTCTTACTAGTTGTCTATGGKTAAAAATACGATATCATTATAAATTGGTTTCGTCGCTTTTCTCTCCATCATCTCTGAGACTTGTCCTGGGTGCAGCTTCGATATCATCGTTTACTGGAGACTCCCCAGCAAGTTCTGCCCTCGACATCTTCTCYACGARACCACAGCCATAAGCGTCACCCATGATATTGGCAAATCCACGAAAACGGTCGCTACAAATTGGAACATACTATGAGCATAATTACATGACAGATAAACCTAGTGATTCAAACACCTAATTTCGTCATGTATCAGCGAAGTCATTGAAAATTGAGATGATGATGAATGATTTATCTCGCGTCTGATCGGGAGAGGGGTYGGGGACGGGAATTATTGCTCGAGGAGGTGGAAGGCTGGGTACGTTGACGATACAGCCCCATGTACATACTTACATGAACCAATCAACTGCAAAAATCAATCCAATGTCGTCAGGGGGGACATTGATTGCTTGACACACAATCACCATGGTGATAAGACCAGCCGAAGGAACTGCGGCTGCGCCAATGGCGGCAGCGGTCGCGGTCAAACTAAGCAAAAAAATCAGTAGAAAGGTCGGCGACCGCATCATCTAGATGCTTGAAATATACAAGGTAATATGACARAATAACAACGATAACTCGTTTTATTTTGCGCAATGTATTCTGGGATCCCGTTCCTTGTAGTCTCGTGACGAATCATACAAAAATTTGCGCAAAGCAAGATCTGACATTCTACTGTTCATGCGTGAGCACAATGACTTAGCAAGAACAAGAAAAGTGCTCTTTTTCGGGTGCCGCAAATTTGTTAGTCTCCTTCTTTTGGAAGAGACAGGAATCCCGGAAATAGTGGGAGGCTGCGAACGAGACTAAAAATTTGCTAAACCATTATAAGGCGGCGCATGTGCCATAGTGTAATTGTGCTTGACGATGGTGCATGGATTAAGGGTTTAGGTTTTTCAAGAAACTTGTGAGGTACGTTTTCACATACCTTGTAGTAATAATCTGAGCAGGTGTCAATGATATTTTGTTGATTTGTGCAATCCAGATTGCTCCGACACCCTCATACAAAGCTGTGCCGTCCATATTGACGGTAGCGCCCAGCGGCAATACAAAACGGGTTATGCGTGAATCAATACCTAGGTTTTCCTCTGTGCATCGAATGGTGGTGGGAAGCGTCGCTGCACTGTAAGAAAATATACACAAAATTATTATGGCTGTAGATTTATATAGCACAACCTTACTGAACTGAAAAGAGATCAAATGCAACCTAAATTTACTAAATACGTCTGGATTTCAGGTCCCTTGTATAAATTATGTCACATAATGAGTACGCACTCATACCTTGAAGCGGTCCCCCACACCGTGACCATTGCGTCACGCATTTCAATCAAAAACTTGTATGGGTTGTTTCGTGTCATGGCGAAGTAGATAAGAGGCAGCGTGATAAAGGTGTGGAGAAGAATGCCTAATATAGAGGTCACAATGAACATTCCAAGTAATTTCAGTGACAGTAAGATGTTGCCCATGCCTGCTACTTTGGACGCGATTAAACTACAAATACCAATGGGCGAATACCTGGAATCATTCAAAATCATATTTTTAATGGTTGTTAATAGGTGGGGCTCTGTTTGCCAGAGTAACGGACAGACAAAACTCTGACTKTTTCCCAGTCATCTCTCGCGCCTTTTTTCTAGTGCGGTTTCGCAAAGCTTCATGCCTTTCGCGTAATAGATAGTAGAGAACGCCGGACTGGGAACGGGTCGGGACAAAACGCGTTGTTAATGGGTATATAAAGGAGAAAGAGCAAAGACGCGAAAAAACATGAGCAGGAGATTGTAGTGGATGGGTGGGCAACAGGACATGATATCGACAGCTATGGGGACAGAGATGGATGGTTGTTGGAGAGCTACAGTGAGGAGGGACCCGTAGGAGATAGAGGCCAGTAGAGGACTGAGGAAGGGAGGGGTCAGTAGAGGACTAAGGATGGGAGGGTCCAGTAGAGGACTGAGGAGGGGAGGGGCCAGTAGAGGACTAAGGAAGGGAGGGACCAGTAGAGGACTAAGGAAGGGAGGGGCCAGTAGAGGACTAAGGGAGGGAGGGAGGGATAAATGTACTCACCACATTACAAGTGTTACCATTCTCATCACAACTTCATTCAAGGCTTCAAAGAATATTTTAAGCGGCAATCCCTTTTTGCCCATCTTGCTCAACATTGCTCCCATAACTATTGAGAAGAGAACCAAACCAAGGACATTCATAGAACTGCCGTATATCGGCGAAGTCCCTGCTGGGATATATTGATAGGCTCTTTGCACCAGTTCTTTCACAGTCGTGATATTATGAGTGCCATTGGAGAAGACTGGACCCGAATGTTTGTCAAGATTTGTGACAGTCTTATTGTAGTAACGGTACTTGGCAGGCAAGGCATTGTATTTTGTCATTCGTTGATTGAACGTGGCTTCCGCAATATTTGGCGGGAAAAGATTTCTGTTAAAAAACATTGAAAAGATTCAGTGACAACAGGAAAAATCTAGTTTTAAATGATTAAAATTAAAGCGACTTGAAAAACGTTGTCCATCATTTTGACCTTTCGGAAACCGCAACTGACGGAAAGAAACGTATCGCCCTATGACARGGAATCCGGAGCATTCCTGTGGATTCTGGATCTCCAAGCTCAGTTCTGGATTTCAAACTACACGAAAGACTTTGTAAGGATTCTGGATTCAGAATGCAAAGCATTCTCGCTTTTATTCCGGATTCCAGAGCCAAAATTTTGTCAAATTCCGGATTCCGTGTTATAGGGCGGAACTTAGCCTGCAGAGTAGAGTCTATTAATAAGGGTAACTTTATAAGACTTTTAGGACCTAATAAAAGATTGCTAAGGAGCACTAATCAACTGAGCTTTGAACGAGGAAGCCCAGAATCCTACATTTAAAAAAAAAKCTCAGAAGAGAGGACAGATTTAGTTTAGAATCATTCTGTGTTAACCAAGAGACAAGGTTTTTTGGACTCAGCCGTCCATCAAAATCGCGCGAGTTTGGAAGACCTCACCGTCACCTAAGTAACATGGGGAGAATCTACGTAGCACTCAGTTGATGTAATATATTCATAAAGATATAATACAAAACACATAATACAAWAMAAKGAGYAACAAMGGAATACAAWYCATTTTATGAATACATTACATCAACTGCGTGCTACGTAGGTCTCCCCAAGTAACATGTGCTTTGTCTGGCGCTTGACTAGACAAGCGTGAAGCGTGAAGTTGAACGAATATATATTGTTTCGCTTAATTCATGGCTTACCAATTATCAAGCTGAGAGAGAAGGGTTATAATTTCATATTACCGGTTATCTATATGTAACTATAATAGATTATGTAACGAAACTATTGCATATTTCAATTTTTTGCCATTGGCGACAACAACAGGGATGTAATAAGGTTTTCGCGGATACATTTTATGCATACATGGATGAAGAATGAACTTATCTTGAAAAACAAGCGATTAATAACTACACTACCTTATTAAATCCAAAAGAGAATCCAAGTTGCGAACTTTAGGCATTTCTTTCTTGATCTCAGTCTCAGGTTTGCCACCTTTTCCTGGCTGAATCGTTGTTACAAGAACAATTCCCAGAATGACWGCGAGAAAGGTCGTGGATAAATAGTAAACGATCGTACGGCGTCCTATCTTGGCCGTTGCTCCAGCGTCTAACGAAGCTACAGCTGTAACAAGACTTGCTACAATCAGCGGCAGAATTAAAAGTTTTAGCATGTTCATGAACAGCTCTCCTGGAAACCCAATKAGCATAATAACAGTSGTCTTTTTCTCGATATCCTTAATTTCATTAATTGGACCATTGGCTAATGTACCACAAATGAAGCCCACGGCAACTCCAGTTAGTATAAGTGTGAGCATTAAATCGCTTTTAACTCGTCGATAAAACGCGCGCATACAGGKAAAACAAATGTTGCCAGCACGAGAACGTCGATAACCCGCCATTTTGCAATGCTGATATGAAAGTCGTTCAAGCGTACGCGMCTCTACTATATGACACTTGGACCTTTTTAATAAGATCACTGGAACTGGGAAACCGTGACCCTCAATTACGCGCACGTAATTTAGACATATATACTAGTTGTAGTAAGACTATAAATCCTTTTTTTTTTTCAAATATAGCAATAAAAATGGGAATATACATAACTGATATTTTTAAACTCCTCAATGWAAAAGTCCTTCGTCATTTATTTTTGTACAATGAGATGCAGTAAGTGACATTGGTAATAGACAAGGGTGCATTATGGGTAAATTAATTAGACTTTTATTTACACTCGTTAGAATGCGCAAAGCCAAATTTTGCAATTATTGCATTTTTTTGTTCAAAAACAGATATCCCACGTTCATCGCTTTCAAGTTTTTTTCTGCTCCMGCCTTCCAGACTTATTCTATATYATACTGTGRATTTTTRAGAAATCATGCATTATTGGCACCATTCAAAAAATCCTATCTCCTCCAAATCAATCTTTAAAGCAGCAATTTCACGATCCCCAAGAGGCATGGTGGGAATGCGTGGATAACCAACATTTAGACCTCTTAGCTTAAGGAAAGCCTTTTGCACACCCAAGTGATCTCCTGTTGAGAAAGAGGAGAGMAGAGRTTTAGACGTTTTACAACAAATCAGGGCGAACAGCAAATCATTAGACTGCTATTTTAGAATCGGGCTCCTAACTCACCGTGCTTACGCAAAACGTTTACAAGAGCTTGYGAGCGATCCTGAAAAACAATGAAATTCTAAAAAAACTGACAACCATCATATATTATGCATGAATGAGTGTTTACTACATCACTTACAATAACATTCTTTTCATTTTATTACAATAAGAACCGGGATTCCTGTGCAGTTCATTCAGACTCCAGGATCCCCCATGTATCTCTTCGTGCGATGCCTCGCATTTTTATAAGATTTGATGGAATAACTATCAAGAAAATTATTGTGTTGCTCAATGAYCCAATCACCACAATTCTTATTAGGAACCGAAGATGCCACGGCAGGGTCTAATGATTGCCAAATTTCTTTTCAGTTAAAATTAGTTATTTCCAAGTCAATCAACGTCAATCAAAGCCCAACTTCCATTTTACTACATTATAATCACAACAACAACAACAAAAAGACAACTGAAGGAAATCACAAACGTTTATTGCAATATAATGTTGACATCATTTGGGAAACTAGTTATGCTTTTCTTTAAGACATAACTTAACATGTTCAGTCGTGTGTTTTTGAATAGTAGAGTTATTCAATCTACACCTAACTACATTTCAAGAACTCAACAAGTTACAACAATCAAAGGAATGACCTGGATTCCTTCAGCCACTAAAAAAGTTCTGAAAGCTAACGTAGTGGTCCAATGCTAAATATGGAACACCCATCTTGTACTGATCTGTACTGTTGTTTTCGAGTCATCTGAGATATTATACAGATATACAATGTATTAAAACTACTAGTTATTAGCTATAAATTTTAAAGAATTGTAATCAAGCTCAAACAACGACGTCTTCATATTCAAACATGATTAGCTGATACCTGACAGACATCTACCTGACAACAATCAGCATGCTACAACAATCACTTGGTTCATATAGATTGGCATTAGGAGAAGGCTAGTTGATTGGCTGATATAGACTTTTATGAGACTAAATCTTTTTGAATAAAAGTATTCAAAGYTGTACAATAACCACTGATTCTAAATATATTTTGTCAACTCCAACGGGTTCGYCTTSATTTCCGASCCAGMWARCKRMWCRTRCMTRYTT